TTATGGTATTATTTATGTATTATTATGGTTATATTATGATATTATTTTTTTATCGTTTCATACTAATCTTATTAGATTTAGTAATTGATTTTGTTTAGGCTTTATTTTTGTCATTCTAATGGTGATATATTGAAATTTGCAGTTCCCCAAGCCTGTAACTGTGTGCATTGATCCAACCGCGGAAAGCTTGCTTCGCACAATAGTTCATAATGAGAAAGAAGCTTATGAACAATATTGTGCATATGCACACCAAATTGGATTTACTGTGCGAAAGGACTATGTTGGTTTTTGACCGAATTCAAAAATGATTAAGACAAAAGATTTCATTTATGGTAAGGCTGGTTTCAAGAAAGAATTGAATAACAATGTGACGGTAAAGTACAGAAGAAGAGACACAAGGACTGGTTGTCCAACCATGATCTGATATGTTGTCGATGTCGAAGGTAACTGGTCGGTTAAGAAATTTATAGAAAGTCATAACCATTCTTTGGCGACGGACGGTGATCTTTGAAAGTCATAACCATTCTTTGGCGACGGACGGTGACAAACCTCTATTGTGTTCCAGTAGAAAGATGAGTGATATCAATGCAAAAGTGCTTAGATCGATGACATAATTAGGGATTATAACAAGCGATGCATTTAATTTTCTGACTATAAAATTTGGGGGTGTAAAAAATTTTGATTGCTCGAAGAGGGATGTTTATAATTTCATACAAAGATAGAGAATAGTTAAAATTGAACATGGGGACGCTAATTCTCTTCTACGATTGTTCACTGAGAGGCAAGTTGATGATACGATGTTTGCATGGGACGTCCAGATTGATGAGTCTGATAGTTTGTTGAATTTCTTTTGGAGTGATGAGATATACATGCTTGATTATGATTGTTTTGAAGATGTTTTAATATTTGATACAAGTTATAGACTTAATAAGTAAAATTTATGTTATGCTCCTATTGTCGGTGTAAACCACCACTGACATAATGTTCTGTTTGGAGTTGACTTTTTGTCAGTTGAAATAGTTGAGTCATTCAAGTGGTTATTCAAATCATTTATCTGGATAATGGATAACAAGCATCCGAGATCAATATTCACTCACCAGGATCAAACAATGGCTAGAGTCATTGAAGAGTATCTTCCACACACCTAGATTATGCCAATGACATATTTACAAGAAATTGTCTTCAAAAGTCCATTGTGGTGTGAGCATCAATGAGCCAATGAGTTTTTTTATAAAAGCATGGGCAGATGTAACTCCGAGGAAGAGTTTGAAGAAACCTTGCATACAATGATTGAGCTAGGAAATCTACATGAAAATGTTTGGTTGAATAATTTGTATAATATCAGACATAAGTAGTCAACGACCTTCAATAAGAAAATATTTAGGATGAGAATTCAATCAACGCAGAGAAGTGAGTCCACAAATAACATCTGTCATGGTCCCTCCAAGACAACAAGCACCCTCACCGAAAGTTTCTTGGGTCTTGAAAATGTCATGAAATCTTGGAGAAGGAATGAGAATGATGAATGATGAAGATTTTAAATAAATGTGAACAGTATGCAATTGTTCCCGCCGTAAAAGTTGTTCCGTGTTGAGGCAATGTGTTTTAGTTTATACGAGGAAGTTATATTCAATAATTGGAGCATAGTTGATACATGGTTTGTGTGGACTTGCTGTGGAGTGCTCAACCACCAAAGATTCTGAATTTTACATTAGAAACTTATATAGTGAACACACAGACAGACTCTGGATTGTTAAAGTCGACAAAAGTAACTCTGAAATTACATGCTGTTGTAAAAAATTTGAAATGATGGGCTTATTATGTGCTCACACTCTAAGGGTGCTTAGTCATTATAATATAACAAATATCCCTGATAAATATATATTATTACAATGGTTTGTTCATGCAAAGAGTGATATATATAGCAGCTATGAGTATAAACATCTGAAGAATTCACAATTGTCACCAAGTTATTCAAGTTGACTCGTTAATCAAACACATGTTCATAAATTTGCATATCATATCAGTATATTAACACAAGGTAATGAATTTGCTATGAAAAATCGTCCTGGAGATATTAAAGAAACTAACAATCGAATCAGAGGTCATATTGAATATGAGGACCACCGGGAAATGCCAAAGTCAAAGAAGAAAAAGACACCGAATATACAACACAATTTGAACGACCCAACAAAAAATGTGGCCAAAAGGAATATATAATGCAAGGTTAAAAGGATATTGGGAGAAGAACATGAGAGTAAAAAGTAAGCATTACCAGTAATATTAATAAACATGTCTTTATTACCAATAATATTAATAAACCTAACATGAAGCATTGTATTACAGGAAAGGACAAAGATGTTGGTTCAAGTCAAGATATATTTCATCATGCGACCCAAACCTGGTTGTTCCGAAGATATATTTATAATATTAAGTTGTTTTTATATATTTCATCATAAATTTTGTGAAATAAAAAACAATAAAACCTTATAATTATTATAATATTGTCTAAATATATATGGAATAAGCTATGATTGATTAAAATATTTTACGAGTTTTTTATAGCCGGCGTTGAATAGCCTGCGTTGAATATTACAAAAATATTATCATAATACAACCACGATATAACAACACTTGCTAAGGAATATATCCTATTTTGATTTGAATATTCCTTTACTGTATTATCTACTATGAGGTCGTATCTTGGTTGTTCCAAGGATATATTTATAATATTAAAATATTTTTATATATTTCATCATAAAATACGTAAAATAAAAAACAATAAAACCTTATAATTATTATAATATTTTCTAAATGTGTATGGAATAAGCTATGATTGATTAAAATATTTTACGAGTTTTTTATAGCCATCGTTGAATATTACTAAAATATTATCATAATACAATCACGATATAACATCACTCGCTAAGAAATATATCCTAGTTTGATTTGAATATTCCTTTACTGTATTATCAACTCTGAGGCCGTATCTTGGTTGTTCCGAGAATATATTTATAATATTAAGTTATTTTTATATATTTCATCATAAAATATGTGAAATAAAAAACAATAAAACCTTATAATTATTATAATATTCACTAAATATGTATAGAATAAGCTATGATTGATTAAAATCTTTTACGAGTTTTTTATAGCCAGTGTCATTGAATATCCTGCGTTGAATATTACCAAAATATTATCATAATACAACCAAGATATAACAACGCTCGATAAGGAATATATCCTGGTTTGATTGGAATATTCATTTACTATATTATCCACCTCGCGGTCATATCTTGGTTGTATTCATTTCATTAAAAAAATATGTGATATAAAAAGCAATAAAACCTTAATATTATCATAATATTGACTAAATATGATTGTAATATTAATATTATAATATTCATACGAGATGTTTTAACTTATATTATTTTAATAGTACCATGATATTACCACAATAGTACAATAATACTATCATATCAGAGGGAAAATAACAACTATTTTATAAAAAAACAATGAGAATGAAATAATCACCTATATTAACTTAATGATGCCATGGTATTATCACAATATTACAATAATACTACGATAACAGAGGGAAAATAAGAGCTATGTTATCAAAAACAACCAGAATGAAAAAACCACCTATATTATCTTAATAATACCGTAATATTACCACAATATTACCACAATATTACAAGAATACAACGATAACAAAGGTAAAATAACAACTATGTTATAAAAAACAACCAAAATGAAAAAAACCACTTATATTATCTTAATAATACCATAATATTACCACAATATTACAAGAATACAACGATAACTAAGGTAAAATAATAACCATGTTATAAAAAATAACCAGAATGAAAAAATCACTTATATAATCTTAATAATACCATAATATTACCACAATACTACAAGAATACAACGATAATAGAGGTAAAATAACAACCATGTTATAAAAAACAACCAAAATGAGAATACTATCATAATATTACTATAATATTACCATAATATTCTTGCAGAGGGAAAATAACAGCTCTATTATTAAAAACAACCATAACAAAACAAGTGCATAGGGAAAACATTCTAATAATAAGACAAATAAATTCTAATAACAATGAACAATGCAATTAAATCTATTTACTAAGAGAAAATATCCACAAACATATTTCATGGGCAAGGTCTGCCGTAAATCTTGCAATATTTGCAGTGTGAGGACATTGTCTTGGGGATAAGGTGGAAGAGCAAAAAACTGATCAACATTCATTATTTTTAGGTAATTTCTGATGTATTCAGATATGACATACCTGACTTTATTGAGCACATCTCTCACTACGGACGACCGACATCTACAGCTCATGGACCTCAGGTTCACAAACCTGCATAAAACAAAACAATGCAAAAAATATTAGGGTCCTATAATTATTCTTAAGTTGATGTTTCAGTGTTATTTACTTTTTGTTAAGGTGTTTAATGAAAGCGGGTTAGGCATTATTATTAAAGAAAATCAAGTATTATAATTAGAATTATTATAGTATTATTAACTCTATTATTTATGTATTATTCTGATATTATTTGAGTTGTACAAATGAAATTCAGGTTTTTATTCAATCTTCTTCAATGTAGTAAATATTACATCAGGACTCGCACGTAGAGTTACGTGCGGAGTCAAATGAAATTACGCCACACACGTGAATGTGAGAAAAAAATCGGCCCGACAACACTGAAGAATATTTCTCCCGTGTTATTTATGTATTATTGTATGTTATTCAAGTGTTATTGATGTGTTATTGTGCTATTATAACACAAATAATATTCCCAAAATATAATAACACATGAATAACATATAATAACACCTGAATAATATCAGAGAAATATTTTCTTGTGTTTTCTGTGTTACAAAAAATATTTGTGTTTGTAGTGATTTCATTGGAGTCACCAGGTGTAATTCTAAGTGTCGAGTGATTATTTTATGCTTTCTCCTGGGTAAAAAAAATTGCGAAAACATGACGCGTAAATTGCGTGCCATGCCGGGGACGGACTCTCAAGCTGTAATATAGAAGAAATTGGAGAGAGACCATGGCGGCCAAAGACACTACGGATTCGACGCCATTGGAGGCGAAGAAGATGCTGATCTACCCGCCCTCTTCTTTATCATCGGGAAGGCAAGTCACGCCTTTCTGGAAGGGTTTGTACTTAAGCCTTAAAGAAACGAGTTTAGGGTTCATTCCATATGTCATTGGTTGAATCATTATTTTTTTGCAGAGAAGTACGAGAGGGAGTCCAAAAGGTACTGGGATTTATTCTATAAGCGCCACAAGAATAAGGTTTGTGATTAGTTATCAATTCAGATATGAAGCTTCGGTCTGTGCAAATTAAGGTAAATGAACCCGTGTTAATTTTTGATGTGATTAGTTTTTCAAGGACCGGCATTATTTGGACAAGGAATGGGGACGATATTTCGAGGTCTGTCTTTCTTTTAAATCTTTTATACTTTGATTCAAGGTAGTTTTCACGCAAATTTTTTTATTCCATGTTTTCCTTGTTAATCATGTTTGTCTTGTTAATCATGTTTGTTTGCAGGCGAGGGAGAAATCTGTGGTTTTGGAGGTAATTCATGCTCGGCTTTTTGGATTATTTATCAGTTAAACTTTTCTTTTTTTCTGCATCTCACTTTTCCTGCAAAATTGGAAAAAATGGACGTCTTCAGGTAGATCAGATAAGAGTTTTACTCATTTAAATACATGCAGCGTTATGAAGAGGATCCACACGCCCCTAATAAACTAAATTCATACAAGGGCTCTTTAGTTGGTTCCTAAGTTAGGCTTAAGCTAGACAAATTTAAACCAAAATGAAGAGCCCATATTGAAATTCTTTAAGACAAATAGATTTAAACCTATCTTATTGCTATGAAAAAACATGCACTCAAGTGTACGTGATTGAATAAACAATAAAGCGATGAGAATCAGCCAATAGAGATTGAGTTTACTGATTATGGTAATTGAATTAATTAAAAGTTTTTGAAGATTGAAAAGTAATTTGTTACAAAGCATAAAAAAAATCTAGTTTAATAATTCCTAAAAACTGAACCTTAAAACAAGGGGTTATTTGCAATATGGGTCAAGATCTAGGGGTTAGGATCTACCTTGATATTTTTTTATTATTTACTATGAAAATTTTGTTCAATCGACATAAATAAAATCGTTGTAATTAAATTCAAATATGCTCTTTATAATTCTCTCAAAAACCTAGAAAGACTAGTTTATAAAAAAAACAACCAATCTTCATCTCTGAGATAAATTATAATGCCATGAGTTTTAATAAAATTAAGAATGTGAATGATTTCACAGTTGCAATGCATATACATCTATCATATGATTAGTTGAGGTATTTCAACCATGGCGAGTTTGTTGTCACATATTGATTTCGAACAAGTCTCCAAATATAGTAATTGATAACCAAGAAATTGCATTGAAATTACTCATCAAGGAGCATCGACATCAAAGGATTACTTTGTTATGCTAGCTTCAAAAGTTGTAGTGCAGTTCAAATTGCACTGTTATGAGCTTTTTGGGGTGAATCACACCGTTATGAGCAATTAGCTCTCTCGATTTTTTGCATTTTTCAAAAACACGAATCAAATTGCACTGTTATATATTCATAATGTTAGAGTTTGATAATGTTAGCGCTTCCTGTGACTTCGACCACCGTCTAAAATCCTTTTTCCCTACGAGCCTTTATGGTTCCAAGCTTATTTTCCTTCATCTTCTCCTTTCGTTTTCGCTGCAGTCTCACATCTATAGCCCCTCGGCTAGGGCAAGGTATTTCAAACATTTTTATGAGCTATTTAGGTTGCTATGAGTTGTTGGTGGACTTGTTTGAGTTGTTATTTTGCTTTACTTTTGTCCCTCATTGCTCTGAGTTATTTGGGTTTTCTAGAGTTGTTTGGATTTTCGGAGCTTGGCCTTACTCTAATCCCTTATGGTTCTGAGTTGTTTTAGTTGCCGGATTTGTTTGAGTTGCAGGAGTTGTTTCAGTTGCTGTTGTTTAGGTTTTTATCATGTTGTTCTTGTACATAAATGCCTTTTTTTTTTAAATTTAATGATTGTCGTGGAGGTAGTTGTGTTTGGATGTTGAGAAGTTGTGTTTGGTCTTTCCATTTGGCGTAATTGCTCTGATTTTTTTCTTCTTAACGAATAAGGGCAAGAATCCTAGTTTTGCTGTGGAGGTTATTGTGTTAAGATGTGGAGTAACCCTATTTTTGTTGGGGTATGCCACGCACGAGTGCTATGTTCGGATGTGGAGTAATCCTAATTTTTCTCATCAAATTAGTGAATCTATGTTTTGCTTCCATTGAGTATAATTTATATGAGTATATTTATACTGATTTTTGCATAAGTTATTCTTTCATCGATCATGAAATGCAACACTAATTTCATGGTTCATTCATTATTGCATTGAGTATTGCATGTGTTAGTGGTCGTTGATGTGAAATTATGTATTTAATTGAGTTGCTTTAGGGTTTGTTTGGGACAGCTTATTCACTGCGGATGCATTTTCAAAATGCCACTGCATCGTTTAGAAAACACGTTTTGACAGCGTTTTCCAAAACGACATTTTTCTTATTAACTAAACATTGCACGCGGCTCCCTGGGCACGGTCGCGTTTGGTTTTTCTTTTGGACGGAGTTGCCCTCTTCGCGTCTTCTCTGCCCTAACTTCTCTTCGGCTTGAGGGCAAAAGTCCTTGTAGAAGTTCATTGTTAGGCCAGAGGAGGAGGGGGTTCGACATTCGTGAGGGATGAGAGGGCGAGGAGGAGGAGGAAGATGAGCCCATCTAGTCTCAGGGGAGGTTTCTTGGTTGGAGAAGAAGGATTTGTGAGCGTTAAGCTTGGCTTTTAATTGCTTTAGGAGCTGCATCTTGCGTTGACTGAACGAGTGGGAGCGATGTATTTCTTCCAAGTCAGAGGAGGCTAGGGTTTATTTTCTTCTGCTTTCTTCCTAATCAGAGGTATTCTTCCTAACTAGATGTAAATGTTTGACTTAAATTTCCAAATCCAATTAAGCAGATTCTCGGTTTGTTCTGTAAATACTAAGTAAATTTTTGTCGAGAATTCTGGAAGCGTAAGAGAAGAACAAATGAAGAGGAATTGATAATATCTGATGTTAGAAGGAGAAAGAAAGAGATGGAACAATTAAAGCATGCATTTAAGTTAGGTTTTATAGATTTTAATTTAAGTTAATGAAATATGAAAATTTATGATAGAATTTTGATTGTTTTTCTTGAGTAAAGCACACAATTCTCATGTATTTACATATCTTACATCTAAACTTCAATATTTACTCAAATGTTTAATAAATTCCAAAAGTGCTTATTAAAGATATGAAATATTGTAATATGATATGAAAATTTTAAATGTCCAATGATTAAATGATAAAGCGTAGAAATTAGGTAAAGAAGAGGTGTGGTATTTACCAGAATACCTCACAGATTTTATGTATTTACACATACTAGTTATGTTTACATACATGACTCTTAAATTTTTAATATCTGTATAAAAGAATATCATTATTACAAAATATCATTAAAGCTTATGTTTACATACAAAATCTGCAGATTATGCAAATTTGCTGATATTTTTCTTGGTGCAAATTGAAGCTTGGCTGTTGGATAGGTGAACATATTATAATCAAGGATTTTTGCATAGATAAGGGGCAGAATGGTCATTTGTCCAGAAACATATGTAAATCAGCTGTTTTCCAAACACACAACGAAACAACCAGTCAGCTTATCAACAGCTTATCAGAATAAACAACTTATCTGGATGAACTGCTGCTGCCCCAATATAAGTTACACTGTCATGGAATATCCATAAGTTAATATAATTTGATGTGAATTTAAGCAATTTTAAAGAACACCTTAATTAAATTTTTTTCCTGATTATAGGATAAATTGCCTACTATTGTCTTTATTGAGTATTGTTTAAAAGATCATTTTTATAAAAGGCACCCAATTCTTATGTAGTTGTATATATAACACCTGCACTTTAGTTTTTATATTTGCAACACCCATTTCATGTGTTGGAGTACTTTGGTGGTATAGTGGTTTTATTTCATCTTTATGCAGTGCAATTTTCGGTGATATACTGATTTAAATTTTGATATTTCTTTTGGAATACTTTGATAATATGATAGTTTGAATGCTTGATGTTTTTGCGGCAGTATTTTGTTCATGGGCTATTGTTTTGAAAAAAATTTGAAAATTTATGTACATGCCACACCAATCTTATGTTGCAACACATCTAATACCTTAAGTTTTATGGTTACACTTCATAAATTTAAAGATTTTATCGTTATTTGTAAAAATATGAATGTTTAGGTGTGATATATTTAAATATATTAGAATCTTGAGCTAGTTATGTAAATGCCCCAAAGATATAATATTATTTGACATTTGGAAAGCTAGTGCAAAGTTCAACTTCTTGTTAAGCATGAACATTACAGCAGTGATTGAATATTTTTTGCATACATTGAGCTTGCTTTGGTGTTATGATTAACTATTAATTGTTTTTGCTTAATCATTATTGACACTAATCATGGGAGCTATTCTCTATTTGTATTCTCATCTGATAGTAGACGACATACTATCCTGCAACAAGCAAAAGAAGGGTTTTGTGTTTTTTGGGTTAGGATTGTGATGCATGAACTCACAGTAGATGTAACACAGATGAACTAGGGATGCTTCTTCTCTCTTGGCTACGTCTTAAGAGTTATTTTGATGAGATTAATTCAAATTTGGTTAATATTCTTGCTACACATGTATGAAACTATTCATGATATGATATGTTCTTGCCTAGATCAAAGATGCGTCTCAAATTCCTTTGAGGGCATCAATTTTGAACTTCTAATCTGAGCCCTTGATTTTGATTCATTTTCATCTTTTAGTTGGTTTTATTATGTTTTATCAGTAAATCTTTTCTTTTCATGAATTTTTGCATTCTACTCATTTATGTATGTACCACGTAAAAGTTATGAGCAGTATGAATGTAGATATGAATTCTTAAGTGTTAGATATGCAAATTCATGTGAATTATGTGGTATATATGTAAATGCCCTTAATTAATTTTATGAGCACCACTCAATTACTTATGTATTAAATTCCACAAATTATGCTCAAAGGTCTATGTCATTTACCATTTCTTCTTGAACTATAATACTACTAAAATTTTTATGAGTTTAAAATATTTTTATTTTCATGTTATTTTTAAGTCATTTCTAATGGGAAATGCAAGAGAGTTTGAAGCTAGTGTCACTTGGGAACGGGGTGTGAAGATAATTTTTTGCAATTTATGTTTGAAAGAGTTCGAATTAGGCAACTGACCAACAACTTACTTTCATAAGGAGAGCTGATAAAATATTACGACAACTTTTAAAGAGAGAATTGATAGATAGTACAATAAAACTCAACGAAAAATAATCTTGGTCGATTGAAGAAGTATTTAAAATTATGGGAGGAGTTAAAACAAAGATCAACCGGGGTGGGTTGTGATTCTATAAATAAGACCATTAATGAATCATATGAGTAATGGCGAGAGAAGCCACATCTAAGCTATTTATTTACACACTTCAATCATATTATTCAACAAGTATACATGTGCACTTACAATTTATATCCATGTTTGATAAATTGTAGGTCGTGCCAAATACAAAAAAAAAAATTCAGAAACCGTGACATAAATCCCAAACTAGAAGAGAAGCTATATTGGATTTTTGTTGGTGTTGTTGCTACTAGAGTTTATGCATGGACTCGAAACCAAAAGCTTCATGAACCTACACACAATCATTGCAATTTTGACCCTAGAGAGAGCTCAAATAATCTCATTGAGGAATTATTGCATGGGGTAGATGATTAAACTGAATCAGTTATTCGAAACATAAGTCTTATGAGGGTCCAAGAGGTTCACAAATAGAAAAGGAAAACATATGCTGGATTTCTAAAAAGTCAGATTGCAGAGTTAGTTAATGCATGCACAACAATGATATCTGCTTTGAGCACGCCTCATGCACCACCATCACTTTTTGAGGCTATTATTGTGCTAAACCAAATCACAAAAGTGTTAAAAGACATTTTTTTATTTATTTTGCACTCTAATAAAGTGTTCGGGGATGTAAATAAGAGGGAGATTTTTATAGCTATGGTTCTTGAGCGAAGAGTTTATTGTCTCCGTTGTTTCTATGACTATCATAATGTGCAACATAATTTTGAATAATTTATAATTTTTTGAAAAAAAATGTAATTGAATTATTATGTAATATTCGCTACTATTATCTTGTTTTGTTAGCTATCATTCTTTTATAATATTTACTTTATATATTTTCCACTCTTAATACTTTTTTAGATAATGTCAGTAGAACAGGTTTTGATATCCTATATATGATCTTTTGTATTTACTTTTTTTTGCTTGCCTACATGCTCTTTTACTAACTTTCTACTTTTGTTATGCAAAACTTTCACTTGATTATGGTTGATACTGGTTTTCTTTGGTTGATACTAGTTTTTGGCTGAAAATGGGTGTTCGTGGTTCGGTCTATGTTTAAATTTACATTGTGGTCATGTGTTTTTATTTAAACTATGATTTGCAATGCGTATTTTGTGATTTAAGTCGAGAAAGTTGTACTAAAGTCTTTATTCTCAGAAAATATGAGTTCAATGACCTGTATAGTTTTTAGAGTTGTGGAGTGCAACAATGATTTGCAATGTTGCGTGTTTACGTCATGTTGGGAAGATAGTTATAAGAGGAAATTTTATAGATGTCCTAGGATTATATTAATAGTTGATGCAATTTTCTTAGATGGGTTGATAAGGAGTCTACTTCAGATAGTGATCACATGTGGAAAGTAGCTTTGGAGAGAAAATTATTCAGGAGATTTGATCATTTGGACACCAAAAGTAATATAATGATAATATTACTTGTTGTTATTATAGTTTGAATTTTTGTATTACTCATTATCAATTGATGTGTATTTTTTAAGTAAGCTGTTAGACTTTTGACTTTGTGTAAACTTCTGGGAGAGTTTTTTGTGATCTGTCTGAATTTGGGATGAAATAACTAACTTATTGCTAGCACATATACATAAGGGCATTAAAATCTTTTTTCTCAAGAATAGTTGCAACAGAGTAGTTTAATATCTGAAGATTCCAAACAGACTTACTATTTCATCAGTAGTAGTTTCCCCATAAGCAGGTTCATAACTGTTGCTTCAAATAACTGCAAGTGCTCTAAACAAACCCTAAGTTAACAAAAAATAAATATAGGAATTTAGTTCTCGCAAATGAGAGGAAAAAATTGAAGAAAAATTATTTCAGAAATTAAAACTAAGAAGAGTGCTGTAGAAAAAATAACTTAGATTTTGGAGCTCTTGATCCTTGCTGTAGTTGTTGTTCTCTCTCTCAATCATAGTTAGGTGTAGCGTTGCCAAGTCACCACCATAGTATCACCTTTTGAATAGCTAGGGCGACCAATGAAAATCGGGTTCTCGACTAAAGATTTTTGTGCTTTGTAAAATACGGAGCCGATTGTCGAGTGCAATGCCTTGGCAACTGATTTTGGAGGCTTGGTGCTGAATCCTCAATGAAAATTTTGGAGTACGACTTTGAAGTAATTGGTATGATGCCTTGGTGCCAGTGCTGCATTATGGTAGTTGTTAATTTATTTGTAAAGTTTTATTAGTTTTGATTATGTCATTTTAATTATTTAATTAGGCAAAAATAAAAAGTGCTTCTATGAATGAGTATTGAGCTGTTCATCAAGTGTACTTTTTCATTCACAACTCTAATTTCTCAGTCTTTAGTTTTGAAAAAAATCATGGGAAAAAGAGGGCACGTCATAATGGTGACTGGGTTTCAATGGTACAACCTACAACTCTGGTACTACGTGGATTAATAGCACCATACTGAAACTTTTAAAGCCTTGAAGGAAGTTAGAATTTCGTTGTTTCTTTTGAAATCAATAGCATAAAACATACATGGTTCGGGAATTCTTGTGTATGTCCATCCTAGCTGTGTTTACCTTTTTAATCTCCATGTTGTTTTGTCAGTCCTTGAAATGTGTTCTTTTTTGAAGTTGAGATTGAGCTAAACCTGATATGTTGTGCTAAACTATCTTTTCTTCTTTGTACTGTACGACACAATTTTAAGCATTATTTTTGTATGGAAGATGTAGCCTCAATGATTTTTTAAAGCCCTGGCTTGAGTGTGCTAAACCATCCATTTTTTAGTTTGGGGCTTGGATTATATGTTAAAAATAATGAGATGAAACTCTTTTGACAAACATTTGGTTTTGCAATGCACTCCTTTACTTTGCAACTTACGTTCTTGCTTTAAACTCTAGGCCTATCCACCAACTCCTGTCTTAATAAGCAATGGTTTGTATTTTCATTTTATTTGATGTTATGATGATTCTTACATGCATTCTTCCTGAAATTTGTTCTATTGTTTACACAACTTTTGATGGAGAGCGAAGCCTAGAGGAAGAGAAACCAATGAAAACCATGAATATATGGAAGAGGAAAGAAGATACCAAGTTTTCACGCACTTAACATCCATTCACTTAGCATCAATTCTCAAAGAGGGAGAGACTATTGAGGTCTCTGGACAAAATAGTGGAAGCAAATAAAATTCATTCTATTAAACATTTCGAATGTTGCCTTAACTTCCTATATATAATAGAAGGCTAGTATTACAATTAACACGTACCTTTATGGATGTTAAAATGACACAAATAACCCTACCATATTATTATAATTATAGAATTGATAACCTGACTCGGAAAGTCTTACATAAATTTAGTAGAATATGGCATGAAACATAACATCAGTCCTTAGGACAACATATGATGACTTCACCATAACAACATTATGTTATATGGCATTATAATATAACATCAAATTAAACTTGTATCTTTGCTTTTAGTCTCTTATCCTTTATCAGTTACACTGGAGATGGGTTTAGATTATGATGATTTAGTTGAAATTGTAACGTTTCTGGGCTATCATGCATATGAAGCTTCTCTTACATCATTTTGTTATTTATCATTGATTTTTGGAGTTTTTTTCTCCATTTTAAATGTTTTATTGCTCGTATTTTAATGTTTATATTCCTCAATTTGAATCCTGATATTATCTTTGGAAGATTTGCATACACACCACTTAATTCCTAAGTATTTACATATCTAACACCTAAACTTCAATTTTTACATGCATGCCAATTTACCTAGCATGATAAGATGTATGCATGTAAATGCCCTTTTTTTTTAAAAGGATTGCTGTTTTAATGGTTTAACTGCAGGCTGGCTGTGGAGTCGGGAACACCATATTTCCTCTTGTTTCTACCTACCCAGATATTTACATTCATGCGTGTGATTTTTCTCCACGAGCTATTGACATAGTCAAGGTTTGAATTCTTTCTTCACGGTCTCCTTGTCTATTGTGGAACGTATCACCCAGCATTTCAGACTATCTGAATGGGAAGTACAGTCATAATTGTATTACTCCTGATGGTTCTGTACTAATTATGCACTGCTCCTGCATCTTAGGCTATGTGATTTTGAAACTTAGTCTTAAATTAATTGTCAAAATTCTGTTATTCTTGATGCTCCTTGTTTATTGCCCAAAATCACACCTTGCTTTTTTTTCTTCTTCTTCTTGATACTGCCTTTTTTTGTAGTGGCATTTGCACTCATACCACACAATTCTTATATTTTGACAAATCTAACACAAAGTTTCATATTTACATACGTAACACTCAAATCTTTGGCATCACATCTGTTGCCTTAGGCAGAGTAAGTTCCCTAATGACTTCCTTTCCTTTAGGTTAGGCATGTTTCCTATCAGTAGGATCCACTAGAGACTCATAACATCAAATATACCACTCATTAACTTCTTAAAAGTGAAATACACTTTTTCATGCATAGGATTTTAATACCAAGCTGTTATAAATGTAAATATCAAACTTTAGGTGTTAGATATGTAAATGCATAAGAATTGTGCGGCATGTATGTAAATTTTCCTTTTTTGTTTTGTGATATGGATGCTTCGTTTATTTGCTTCTTATTTCTAAAAGCCATATCATGGCAGGCACATGATAGATTTAGAGATGATCAAATTAATGCATTTGTTTGTGATCTCACATTGCAAGACCTTAATGATTTGGTACCATCTTCTTCAGTGGACATTGTGACCATGGTAAGTAAATCAGTTTTTTTGTTTGATGTATGTTTACACTGCTCTGAAAAATTTTGTTTTTTTTCTTGTTTGGTTTGTTTTTTCTATTTTTAGTTGTTGGGTTTTCCTTCAGATTGAAAACTGACACTTTAAGCAGGTTTTTGTGCTATCTGCAGTAGCTCCTGAAAAGATGCCTTTGGTGTTGCAAAATATCAGGAAGGTTATAAAGGTAAATATTCTCTTACATCTTTAACAAACCATCACTAGTCTTTTTTTTATTTTGGAAAAATCCTGATTTAATAATCCTTTTCAGCCAAATGGCCACATTCTAATCCGGGATTATGCATGGGGCGACCTTGCTCAGGTTGGTTTATGTAATCATGTTTTTTTTTTATTTTAACTGAAGTTGTTGTATTTGGTTTTGCCCTTGGCCATTTATTATTAGTTAAATTCTGATTTTAAAGCATATTAGAGTGTTCAAGCAATAGTTAACGGAAAACTAAAACTTTTAATTTTCACCACTCGCTGGTTTAATTACTTTAATTGATAATAAGTGCTAGCCTTAATATGCAAACCACCAAATTTGGCAGAGACACTAGCAGCGAACCTATTTAATCGGCCCAACCTGTTGCTTTGAAAGACCCGCAATTATTGATTTGCTTGTCGATGTATGTACAAGAACCTTTCATTTTACTTGAGATGGGGGGAGAGGACAAAATGTTATTCCTGAGGAAATGAAATTTCTGGCGTGTTTGCACTCATAATTTAAAAATTAAAAGTAAAAATTGATGTAATATGACGTAGGAATATCAACAACATGCGCTCACACACACATACATATAAAGAAAAGAGGAATATGCATATAATCTTTCTGCTTTTTTAAGAAATTCCAATTTTTATGGGGAATGTTACTTTCCTCCTCATTAGATTGCCCCATCTACCAACATGAGGTGGCATAAGTTTGAAATAAAGGGTGTCAACTGGTTCCTCATAATTAAGAAAAAAATAGTGGTGTTGATGGATTATTGACTCTGACATTGCTACTAGTAGCTACTTTTGGGAAAAGAGGGATAATAATAATAGTTGCTTTAGGACATTCAATCTCCCTTAGAATTAAAAAGAAAACAAATATTTTACTTAAAAACCTTTTCTTCCCTTTTGTTTCTTAGTCTCGTTATCCCTTGTTTACCATTTCACTTGCTTGCTTATGAACGCTCTGAAGACGAGCAAAAACAGGAGAAATTTTGATCTCCTCTCGAATTTTTTATATGCATCTTTTTTGATGCAATAACTAGCTGATTTTGTCATTTTGTTTTATGTCTTGTGTAGAACACATGTTCACACCTTTTCTACAAGTGATTGGTAGAACACAATCATTTAGGTGCTTCATGTTGCACTCACACAAAAATCTCTACACAATTTTGGATGCAGTTTCATGCAAATTACCCATATTCACTTTTCTTGGCATAATCTTAAATACCCTTGTAGAGTGATGTAGTTGCATTGCATAAGTCTCTCGAAAATTTAGACAAAAAAAAGTTATAACAAGAAAAATTTTGAAGTGTGGTCCCAAACAAAAGTTTGCTTGCACATAAAATAATGAAAGAAAATGAGCGAATGAATTAAGTTATATGGTCCGTGAAGCCTAATCCTTCAATGCGAAGGAAATAGTTATTAGTTTGCAAATCTCTAGTTCCTAATGAACTGGTCTTTTCAATCTAAGACCCATAAGTAGTAGTAATTTGATGGTAGATGTCATCAATATACTTGGTGATTCATTTGCTTAAGGTTTTCTTTGCTTTTTTTGACAAAAATTCTTAAACAAAGGTGAAAAATATGTTGACCATTTTGTTTATTAGACATGTTTTGAAGTCCTAACATTTGGTCATTGCATTATTGGTTTTAAACCTCACTTTAAGGCCTTGTTTTTTATATACAACAGCCGAGCAAACAACACTTAGAGTTCAATTAGTATGTAAGGCTGAATCCTTATAATATGAACTGTAGAGTTCAATAAGGATCACATTATCCAACAATAAACCAGTGCTTGATCTTGTAGATATATCGATAAGGTAGAAGAGCCCATAACTTGATTACTATCCATGATTGTTCTTCTACATGAAAGGAAACGGTCTATAAGGCCTATAATCCTACTATTATTGTAGGCTTAACCCTTCAAAATTAAGAGGTGGAGTTAACATGACCTATAGCGCTACACTTCACAAAACTTGATATTTTGTTGATAGGTCATAGGGTTGGCAACCATAAAAAGAAAATTGACATTTCATCTAAAGAGGCAATGCAAGCGATGCTTTAAAGTCTGGCTTGAAGCAATGAGGAAACTATTGATGGTCGTCAACTATTAACTTATAAAAAATATAAACAAAGATAATCATGAAAAGATCCACATCAGCTGGTGCGTACTTATATCATCTCAATCAGTATGTCAACAAGCTTAGCCCTAATAAACAAGCCAATGAAACCAAGTGCAGGCCGCTTTTTGTCTATATTTTCTGGATCAATAATGCACAAATCAAATTCTGTGGTTGTGGACTCTCATTAATAATCGATGACAAGGTTGCTTAGACCTTTTATCTCAATGATGGGCAGGTAATATGGAGATTGTAACCATATGGGTTAAAGTTACGCAAATCTTAAATGCTCAAATGGAAGAACTTTGAGGGGTAGTCTCTTCAATCAACAAATGATGAAGAATTTTGATAACTAGATTCTGAAGCATGCAAAATCTCAGTAAATTGAATTGAAAAAGTGAAAGTATGGCCAGTTCATTGGCCTAGTTTCTGGCTTCTTCCTCACCAACAAGCCAAAAAGGTGATTGTGTGCGGTACAGTTGAGTTCTACAAATATCATTAAAACTCTCAATCATAAAGATAATTATATCGAGCTATAACCCTGATGGGGGGTTTGATTATCAAAATATTATCATTAGAGGGGTTCATTGTCCAAATCAAGCTTCCAATGGCAATGCTAAACATCTGGAGTCTGATATCGATGATGTATTTGGTTATTAAAAATTATATCGAATAGTTTCATTACCAAGTCAAATTTCCTATCACCAAGAAATTTACACTTTGAGCCTTTCCCCTGCAATTGACTAATTATTTCGAGTTATAATTGGAGACGGTCCAATGAAATCCATGATCATGGTGAACCATGCAAATCATGTCAAGCTCACTTTGATGATGGGTTTTGGCTATTGGCATATTATAATAAAAGTTTATTTTTAAAATTAAGCTCTTGATTATAAAGCAAACACCTCAAGTGATAGTTGCTTATGATGAATAAAATATCACCAATCATATTCTTGGAGGGTTCTCATAATAAAAATACCCCCTTGACATCCAAGATAAATACATTTCTGCCTCTATTTTCAATGACAACATATTCAAAGTAACATCATCACAGGTGGGAGGTCTTCCTTGTTCTAGCCCTTACAAAAAATAAATTTAAAAAGTATAACTAGTAAAAAAAACTTAGCAATAATTGAATTCATGCTCATAGCAATTACTTCCTTTTTGCACATCATTTTGTCAAACATGATAGATTTTACTTTCACCAAAGCTCATAAAAAATCAAATGTCATAGTAATTATATTCATTTGACCACAATAAAAATCTGATGCAATTATTGCTCCCCTGATTAAGTGGTTAGTCTGATTGCATTGACATCATTATATTACTGTTATGACTTAAGCTTGGATGAGCCCTAATGGCCAAGCCTATTAGTTTTTAGCTATAAGACAATGCATGAATTTCTATGCAATCTAAGATGGCTTAAAATTGGCCTCTTCGATAACCTCTCTCCTCAAGTCTACAAGGCCCCCCTTGTATGATACAATTGGTGGTTGTTGATAAGAATTTTTATCAGTTTGGTCGGTTACCCGCAATAAGTGGACTAGGTTTGATGCCAAACCATTTTTTTCGTGGCAATAGTTGTATACCTTCAGTTCCTCTAATATAACACTGCTACTAAAGCGAAAATTTTAAAACTTTTCTCCAATTTTATATCTCCTCTTTATAAATTATTTTAACATTTAATACCTATTTTATTGAATATTTAGGTTGTTATTTACTATTTAATTTTGTTGCTTACTATAAAATTATAATTTGATTAATACTATCTATAATTCTATTAAATTTATAATATTATAAATTTATGGTATAATTTAAAGCATTAATATTTTTCTAAATGAAAATTTTATCAAGTATTGTTTATGCAATTTTTTTAATAAAGAAAAATATTTAGTCTTAATAATATCATACAATTTTATGTAAAATTTTCTGAAATATAAAAATTATAACATTGCTTTATTTTTTGATTAAGGCTTAATTTTCCCCTTTTTCTCTGTTGCTTATTGTTGCTCGCTCAAAACTCTTGATAAGCGGCACTATTCTGGTATAACATAATAAAAATTTGCCTGATCTCACTTTGTGTAAGCTCGTTCGTCTCTGCCAGGACTCAAACTCGACTCCCATGTTAGGTTCACTTGTGACATCCTTGACATCATTATCTGCTTGCTACTCAGGATGTCTATTGTTCATTTGATCTTCTCTCTTAAGCTCAGTTGCTCAAATCAACATTTACTGCCACAATGTTGCTTGTTGTCCTCTCACCTTAGCTTGCACTTTGATTTCTACACTATGCACATGCACTACACTAGCCCATCCATCATTGCATCTCGATTTTGATACTTCACTCATCGTCGCTTTTGCTCAAGTCTGAGGTTGATTCAATGCTCCGACCTTTATGTCACAATGCCCACTCAAACCTATTGTGCTCCCTATTTTTGTCTCTTGCTCCTTGGCTCTTTTGCTCGATTCGCCTTTACCTCTCTTTACATCTCCACTTATAAGTATGGAATTGGCTTCTCATCTATATCTTCCTTAACGCTTTTGTTAAAAATTAACTTACATAATCTAAACCTTGCTTTGATACCATTTTTGTCACGACTTGGCTCGGTTGGTGAAAATAATTTTGTTTTTATTTCTATCATTAACAATAAAAATAAATCTAAAGAGTCACCAATGAAAATTATTTAAATTAACTTAAATAAAATAATTAAAAATGAATTTACATTTTTCTATATTTATTTTCCTTCTATAAATATTTTCTTTTATGTCACCCTTTTTATAGTCCAAAGTTTAACTTGAAAATATTAATTTGTAATAGTGAGTTCTCAACAACTCATTGAATACCAAAATATTCAAATTATAGTAGCATAACGGAAAAGAAAACAATATTTATCTCTGTTAAACATCATGAATCTATATAAAAATATTTGATATTTTATTATTCATACATGACTATTCAAGAAGATAAAAAATATTCTATCATACAAAATAA